CGGTATGAATGGAACGGGGGAGTCGGTGGGCAACGGCCCTGACAATTGAGTGATGGCGGGGGACGGTAGCCCCCACACAGTACCAACAATGATCTATATTGATGTTAATGGTTGAGTATAAATGTGCTAATGTATGTTGAACTTCTTTCCTACCGTACGTAGCCAACCGCGTGGTTGTGACGCCATATTTGTGATGAGGCTCTCCATGACCCAATATCTTCGGATAAATCTGCGACAATTAGCGGGGTTTTTTTTGGTCCAGATCAAGAAAAGTTCCTTATCTAGGCCAGGCCCGGCGGTCGGGGTGGCGCGAGGGTGGGTAGGAGGGCCTGGGGTGGGCCCTGCCTCACCACGGGGCTTGGATATATCTTTCCCATCTGCGAGCACCAACAACTCAGGAACAACCTCACCGCCGAAGCAATCCGCACTATCAAGGAATCCACCAAAGAAAATTATCCCCCCGCCCCCTTGTATATCCTTGACAGGCTGCTGAGGGTACGTGCTGTCGTGCTCTTACGGCCTTCATGAGGACAGATATGGCAGAGTGGAGATGCCAAGAGACGGAACGTAGGTAGTTCCAAACAAATACTTTTGGGTTCAGCAGCTGCATGAAATGGGTTTTGATCCAAATCGCATGGGCAATCTTTGGAACTATTAATAGGCAATCAGGCACACGTCGCAGAGTTTTTTTTTGGATCGCTTTAAGGTAATAACAGGTCGGAGCAGATCGAAGGACAGCGTTGTGAATTGACTGTGTCAGGTGGTGGAGGTTTTACTCGCACGCGTGATCTGACTCAAACATATTTTAACCAATTTTTTTTTTAACCATTGGAGCTATATAGCTCTTTTTAGAAGCGACCTGACCATCACAAATGATAGCTCAAACCAAGTGGCTTATCATCATCACCTGGAAAGTTATAGCAGCCATATAACTCTAACGCGTGACGTTGATTCTAAATATGGAGGGGAAAACTGGAGGGTCCGGAGAAAAATCCACGCGACCACGGGGAGAGAGAGAGAAACGCAAATTCCAAATATACAGCAGGCGTCAGAGTCAGGATCAAACCAACGACCTCTTCTATACCAGGCGAGGTAGTTAACATCTCGCCATCGTATAAACTGGTGAGTGTTGGGGGCTGCTGGTGCATTGTATATGGGGCCGTCCATAAATGACGTCACGCGATTTTGGACGATTTTTGACCCCCCCCCTCGTCACACGGCGTCACAAAAAGTCAGACCCCCCCCCCCTCAAATATGACGTCACAAAGTTCTGCCCCCCCCCCAAAAAAAAATATAAAACATGCTTCAAATCGCTTTAAACTATTGTCATTGTAGTGCACATTTAATGTGGCGCTGCACTGATGTTGTAGGAGAAAACATTTATTAAAAAGTCTATTTAATTAAGTAGAACGTGCTGTCTATATTTATTTAAAGTTGCGCATTTTTACGTGATGTCACATTTCTCAAACCTCCCCCCCTCGTCACATATCGTCACAAATGTCTGACCCCCCCCCCCCCCCAGATGCGTGACGTCATTTATGGACGGCCCCTATGGTGAGGTTGACGAGTTGTGTCTAGCATGACTCCAGTCATAAAACAGGCTTCCCGCTAGTTATTTCTCAACCCAGTGCTTGGACGTGCACCCACAGGGGCTTACTGTAGTACGTGCCGATAGAATCGTTTCTCCACAAACTGGAACATTTGCCTTGTCATGGCCACCATTTATGTGGGCGGAAAAATTGCCGTTCGCAAGATTACACACCTACGCCCCGAGATTACCGCGTCGGCCAGCTACGCAGCTCAGACACCGTTTCCCAGTACTCGTAGATGTTGTCACTTGTGGGTGGTATGTTTGTACTGGGATCAAGCTATGGGGTCGTGGAGGTATAACAAAAACGCTGGTCAGTCCACCCTTGAGTGGCTCTCGCCTGAGCATGCTCTGTTATGAGTATGCAGGTCATGGTGTAGCGCTACACCACCACCACCACACTGCTCAAGTGTGCCCTGGATCAATGGCCAGCAACCCTTAAACCCTCCTCTCTCAATTGCCACAAGATACAAAGCAAAGCCTCCAAAGTGACGGATCAAAACAGACACGGAATGCGCCTGGCCACCGACTACGAGACAAGGAACTGCGAATCATTGACGTTCAACACCCGTGGCCTGAGATCCAACATCGGAGAACTCGCCACTCTTGTGTAAGGAGAAGGAACCCACCGTTGTCATCGTGGTATAAACATTCCTGGATCCATTTGTTAAAGACGGAGCTGACTACATTGCAATGTCCGGTTACACCATGTGCTGCTGAAGAGATAGACCTGCCTCATCCGGAGGGGCCATTGCAGTGTACTGCCCTACAAGGAACAGCCATCCATCATGACTCTCAAAGAGATCCAACAGACATTGGACTTACGTGGCACATTCACATCACGTTCCCAGGAGCTACTCATAAGAGTCGCGTACAGACCACCCGTTGCTAACAATGACATATTTGACTACCCGGACACTGAAACCCTGTCAAGAATGACAGAGTTCGATGTAAATTCCATCATGCAGGTGGGAGACCTCAATGTCCATCATGAAGACTGGGCTGGTAGCCGACAACACACTCTGGCTGCCGAGCTCTACAGTTTGCAAACTACTTGGGCCTCCCAATAGATTGTTGAATTTACAACAAGAGGTGACCAAATCCTGGATCTCGTCATGACTGACTTTCCTGCCATATATACTACGCTTGTCGACCTGGGTACCTCAGACCATAACCCAGTCTTTGTAAAGCTCGGCTGTCCCTGCGTACAGAGACAAGCCCGACAAGATGAAAGTGTGGTAATAGAACAAAGCCGACGATTGTGGAATAAGCTGCTTAATCGTAGTTACAGACTGGTCAAGAGTCTTCTCGGGGAAAGTCCCCGAGAAGACATGTGGTGAGGTCACTAACATCATCTGTAATATTATGGAGCTGCTATACATCCCCAGCAAAAAAATTGTCACGTAAAAATCCCGGAGATAAGGCATGGATGGGTTTGACGAGAAGTGCAGGAGAGCTACAAGGAAGAAGCGATGCCTCTTCTGCCAGCTCAAAAAACAACAACACTGCCGTCAACAAGCTGAAATTTGCCCAAGCAAGACACTCCTACAACCAGGCTAAGAATCAGGCGAGAAGGAACAACATAAAGAATCTAGATTTGAAGTTTTCGTACAACATAAAGCTCAGGAAGGAGCTTACTGATAAGACCTTAACTAGTAAGAATTGGTGGAGGCTCGTAAAATCCCACTCCGGTCCACTTCTCTTCTCCATCTTCATTGACGACCTGGTCGATACCTGCGAGGACCCAGCTGTACCTCTACGCTGACGACTCAACCCTCTATACTCCAATAAGATCACTTGCAAAAAGCTACGCGGCGGCAGCGAGCCTGAACCAGGAATGTGACATCTGGCCAGACAAATGGAAGATCACATTTGAACCATCAAAGAGCCAGACCATGAAGGGAATTCCATCCAAGTTGGATCTGCATTTTAATGACTGGTATGCAGGAGGTTGACGCCTGTATATTTGGAGTTTGCATGTTTTCCCCGTGGTAGCGTGGATTTAGTCCTCCATTTCCCCCTCCATATTTATAAACATGCATAGATTTTTTGGTGCACTAAATGTGCAAAGGATGGACCACTTTGTTGAGCTATCATTTGTGGCCAGGTCGCTTCTGAAAATTAAGTTAATGCCTCAGTGGGCTTTGCTTGGTAGGACGGGAATCGTTTAGTTTTGTTTATGTTTGGGTGGTTTACCTTTCTTGTACTTTGCACTGTCGTGTTTTTGTACCGTTTGTTGTTGTAAAGTTCTTACCCGCCCCCTAATGGACATCTTGAAAGAGATGTATAGCTGATCAGATTCCTCCTGCTGTATACATTAATATATTCTGATTCTATCAGCTAAGCATCAACAAACATGTTCGAGATCCTCGGCACTACCATTGACAGCAAGCCGACATGGGTCAACACATCTCACCAACATCTCCTTCAGAGCAGGACAGAGACTGGGTGCACTGAGAAAGGTGGCCAACGAAACTTGACACAAAAAGCCGAGCCACAGTCTACAAAGCTCATGTCCGCAGTGTCATGGAGTTTCGGCTCTTCTTTGTGCTGGATGAACGCCCGACCAACTCACCTAAACCTTGTCGACAACATCCGGAAGAAGGCGCTGAAAATAATTGGTGTTGATGAAGCCCACGGCCAGCACACAACTCGCCATCACCGTCGACAAGTTGCTGCTGTCACAATCCCTGGTACAAAATGCACACCAACCATTGCCTCCCCAGACCTTCAGGCCATGATACCACCCCCATACGAAAGACGCCGTACCACCCGATTATTCACGAACCTTCCCAGTCACGCCCTTGTTCCCCCAGTTGCCAGAATACTGCTCCCTGGACAGAAGCTCCCTTCTTCTTCTTCACTCTGCTGTCCGGATACAGATTTGCCTCCCTGATGAACACATTGTGGGTGAAATCACCGATTCTTGTGTTCAGGCCTTCAAATGCCAAGCTCACACATGGGACATCTCCCAACTTCACCCTACGCTTTGTAGGGATTGAGTCTTTGAGCTGCAATGAACCAATGATTATGCCAATTAGATGTAGTAAAGTCTGATATGGCTATTGTTCACAATTGCACCCAATTAAAAAAAGCAATAATCACAGCTGTAGGTAGCGCAAGCACTGTGCAAGGGCAGGGCACCCACCCCTTTAAGCCTGAGAGACATCTCCAAAGGTTCGTAAGCATCCCAATGCAGCGGGGACATGGCTGCGCTGCGGAACGCAGGTGAACGCAGCTCTCATTGGGAATCGTAATCTTTTGACTGCAGGAGGAATCTGATGAGCAATGAAAATATTTTAGTTGTTTCCCCACAGATGTCCAGTACAGGCATGGGGCTAGCAAAGCCAGCAAGCCAGCCATCCAGGACTCGCATTCACGAGTCAAGGGCATCTAGGACAAACGCACAATCCAGTTTATGCAACGTTTATTTAAAGTAAGCCATGAACCAGAAAAGTATTCACCATAAACAATATCGATAACAGTAAGGCATTTGGACATCGATCCAGGTACTTGGGCACAGGAGTCAAAATTTTGCTTTTCGTGACAATTTCAACATTGGTAGTAAGCACAGGATTTAAGCAGAAATATAACAAAAAATACATAGAATTCGGTGTAAATAAATTACTACGACCGTTTCGATAACAAAGTTGGATTCTCAGGATGTCCACCGTGAGCTTCGCGTCAGTCGCTTTGCGAGGCAACGTGGCGAATACAAACATGGGGAAAAAGATTTACACTTCACTTCATTTGTCACGCAGCATAAAAACTCAAATTGATTTGAATCAACTTATGACGATGCGGGGGGTTTTTGTTTCTTTTTTTTTGGTCCACGATCAAAACGGAACGCTGGGCGCGTTTTATTCTTTCCGCAGTGCATTGCACCACCGACGTTTATTTTTCCATTTTTCCCTTTTACAAGCTAAACCTGAGAGCTTCGGTTACTGTACGTAATGTGTCCCACAAGTAATCAAATCAACATTTCCGAGTACAAAAAAAAAGAATTGTAATGATTTAATGGCGTGGTCCAATGCACCCTGTTCCATTCCTCGTGAGCCCCAATGGTCCCTGATGTTAATCACCGGAAGCCTCAGGGAATAGGGTGACTGTATCACAACAGTCCCGACCCGGAGCGTAACGTTTATTTTACGCGACGGCGCTCTGTACGTACGCACCTACATACTTCTTTCGCACCGCAAGTAGCCAACCGTACCAATCAGAACTGTGGTGTATGTACGCATGTTGAACATCTTTTGCAAAGTACCTAGCCAACCATGCTAATTGTAGGTGCGGGGCAGGTGGGGGATAACAAACCAAACACAAGAAGCAGTTCTGAAGAAATGAGTTTTCAATCTAGATGATTTAAAAGTGGATATCCCCACTGGCTGTCCTAATTTCGGAGCGTCCGCCAAAACGTCCGTAGTGCCATGCATTTGTTGTTTCGTCCGCCCACTGAGTTCTGAAGCGGATGAATCACGTTACCGAAAGAGAGTTCACAAATGAGTGAAACTCTCCGAGATTTAGCCGAAAAGAAGCGGGCGGAGCTTCTTGGCTACTGCACGAAGCGGCGACTGGCGCTATCGTCGTTCGTAGCGCTGGCGCCTGCCCGCGGTCTCGTGTAAAACTCGATTCACGCGCCGCCAGTTTGTTCCACTGATATCCTTCCCCTCTCACACCTCCAATTGCCACGGTTGGCAACGTACGGTGTAAAAGAAGTTCAATGTACATACAACGCGCATTTTTTTGGCAACAAAAACACGATTTGCCAATGCCTACCGGCGCAATGGGGGAAACCGTGACACGTTTGGGCAAGACGTAAATTTGGTGCAAGGCAGGGCTTTACTGGCAACTGCATTCACGCTCACCGGGCCAAGCAGCAGCAGCATCGTGCTGAATCAAAGGGCAATTAAAATTTTGCGGAAGCACAAACCTTGTTGCAGGTCAAACGTGATACTCAAGTGTAACCATCAAGTATTACGTGTGTAAGTGCAGCATATGACATTGTTCACTCGTTGAAGTTATGGGTTTTTTTTTATATAAGGGGCAGGTTGATTACAATGATCATATTTTTTAATGAGCCAAACATTCACAATAGATAATTTTAATCTACAATTAGATGATATTCTTTAGTTCTTTCGGTAAAGTAACGTAGATAGAAGAAAAATAATAATAAAAATAAAGTGAATATTTTTATTTTATTTTTATTCACTTTATTTTTTTATTATTTTTCTTCTATCTACGTGACTTTACCGAAAGAACCAAAGAATATGAATTCCTGCAGTCATGAAAGTTTTAAGTAAAATACAATGTTCAATTAACTCATCACAATGTGATGACAATGTGATGAGTTAACAATGTGATGAGTTAACCAATGCACCTGCAGTGTTAACAGCACCCAGCTGTAGAGGCGACTGCGGTGGTGCAGGACACTCAAGACTGTGCCAGGGATGCTAACCGCGCTGCGCAAAGTTAAGTGGCACGCATTGCCCTTGCATGGGCGCGGCAAATTTTTACCCCGCCGCAAAACGAATAAAGCCCGCGAACACCCACGTGCACGCACGCGAACACACGCACGCGGAAGGATGCATGGACAAATTCACACACACAAATAAAACCCCCGATGCGGACACAAAAGAGACATGTAGATGCTCACAACAAAGGGGCAAAATCAGTCTCCAGGGGGAAGACGGGCAGGGGACACCAGGGCAAGTGTGGACGAGCAAAGAACGGCGCGATACGCACGGCGAATGTGTCGGCGCGCGCACGTATTATGTCCGCAACACCCCCCCCCGTACCCCGCCACTGATGAGCGACAATGCCCGGCAACACTTGGTGGGGAAGAAGCACACGAGGGGTATGCGTGCCAAACCAGCTGGGGCGTGCGGAACCAGCTGGGGCAAGCCTCCACGTCCCCCCCTCAGTACTTGTTGATGCCCAAGAAGCGCACTCCATGCAGCTGGGGCAGCTTGGGGATGAGGACGCTGAGCAGGGAGACGGTGTTCACCACAAAGTGAGCCACCTCGTATTTGGTGTAGAAGCTCGCCAGGAAGTACCTGCAAACACGATCGGACCAGCCGCACACCCCCGCCCCCCCGACGGCAAAAACAAAAAACAATGTCATTCGCGCAGAGGTTTTGAATTTTAATTACCCCAGCCGCATGGCACCGCGGGAAACGGTATCGCTTCTGAGGTGGCGAGCAGCCCGGTAACAAATACAATTTTTTTTACATCGAATTGCATAAATCTAAGCAAGTTTGAGAAGGTGCCCTGACTTTTAACACATGGATTTTTCTCCGGGTCCTCCGTTTTTTCCCTCTCCACATTTAGAAGCAATGTCACGCATGTTTAGAGTATTTGGCTGCTGCTATACATTTCCACATGATGATGATAAGCGGCTTCATTGAGCTATAATTTTGTGATGCCCAGGTCACTTCTGAAAAATAGCTATATAGCAACTCAGTGGGCCGCCTTACAAGGTAAAATAAAATAAAAAAATTAGTGTAAATAGTTGATACTTGCACAGGTGGAGTGCACCACAACCACCACTCGGCGGTGATTCCCATCAGGTGGGAAGAAGGCAGAGCCCAACTTTAAACCCCCGTTTTAGAGATTTTAACAAGCGTTTACATCATGCAGATTGGATGGAGTTTGTAAATACTGAAGAGACCGTTCTGGACCATAGCAACAACAGAGGCAACACATAACGTTGAATGTAGTTTATGTAGTTTATGCAAGAGGGTAATTGTGTAAATGTTTATACTAGAACTAATATGGTTACATGGTTAACTGATAGCCTCTAACCGGCCTGTGTGTGATTATATGAAATCTTTTAGCGACAGTTGATGTTTTAGACTCCAGCAGTCCCTCCGTTAATATTTTTGTAATCCGTTCCATTAAAACTACTGTTAACCGAAATAATTGTTAAGTTGAATTCACTAATAAGTTGAAAAATAAGCAAACATCACCAAGTCTGCAAAAGAGCCGTTTTTCCATTACCAAAACAGACACCGTAATGTAAACAAAGCCAGGCAAGGTCTAAACGCTCTAAGATGGGCGTCACTGATTGGCTGAGGCCGTGGCTCAGCCTAACTTACGAGCGCTCAGGTTTGGCCGAAATTGGCCCCCCGCGTGCACAATGTAAACACGTTAACGTAAGTCACAACGTTAACGTCAGTCGTAACCATGGTATCCTATGGGAGGCGAAACATTAACCGAAAAACCTTTAACCGATGTCACTTTCGAGGGACTACTACTGTACACCCAATAAGGTTACATCGTGAAGTGATGGCCTCTTAAGAGGCCTGATTGTACAAAACTCTCTGGGGGGCTCAAAAACTCACAGGACAATAGGGCTGATGGTGAGGAACTTCCTGGAGGCCGTGTACTGGAAGCCATGGTCCATCTGCTCCCAGTAGGTGAGGAGGCGTGCCCGGCCCTGGTCCGGAGTCTCAAAGGGGGTGCCTTTCAGTGTGTGGAGGAACAAATACATTCCCTGCAACGTGACACGCGCACAGCCACTCCATCATCGTCATTGTCGTGAACAGGTGTGCACCTTCACAGACGTATGTTCAGTTCTCCTATAACGCCGCGGTAGTAGTTGCACTCCTGAAGAACACCGCGTTATGGAAACAAAAATCCCGTTTTGGTAACTGATGTAAAGCACGGTCCGCAATACTGCGAGAGATGCGCAACACAGGCCTGAACAAAGACTGAGGTGTGTGGTTAGCGTCTAGAGCTATCCAGCAGCATCCCAATCCCTTGTGTGATGCTACGCCGAGGCAGCCGTACGACTGCTTATTCCTAATTGCGACGTCGTTCCGTTCGCTCGATCGCGTTATAGATCCAATTGCATCCGCGTTATGCAAAAATGTTCCCAATACATTAATCGCGTTATATATCCAATTCGCGTTATGAAAACAACACACATCATTAGACCTCCTTTGCCAGTACCAAAATGTAATAATAGGGTTTTTCCCCTTTTTTCTGGCAACAAAACTGAAACATTTTTTTTACAAGGATTCATGTCTGTATTAACCACAATACCTGCAGTCAAAATGCAAACAAAACACATACTATGATAATATATGCATTGTCCTTGATACTGATTGGTCCACACCAAGGGACAGCTTTCTTTTGAGCCTCGACCCAATTGACGTCTTTGGAACGCAGTGTTTGGCCACCACCAAAGACAAAGATCTCCCGTATAGCCTATAACAGACTTGGGGCAAGTGCTGTTAGTGAGCACCTATGAAGGCCGGCACGGCACACGAGGGGGTGGGGTGGCCAGCACCACACCCGGCCGCCTTTGTCTCACCAGTGGCAATGTTTGCACACTGCACCAGGTACTCATTTGAGGCCGAGTCGACCTAGGGGAGGCCCAGGACCGATTCAGATAATCATCACTGATGTTGGCCGTGAGCGGGAATCGAACTCGGGTCATCGGGTTCGTAGCGCAGCGTGCTAACCACTACGCCACCACAAAGAGGGGTTCACACACCTACCCGCTGCACTGCTGCCACCTCCAAGCCACAGCTCCATCAGCTTTGGTGGAAGTTTCGCAAATCTGCTGGATCCACAGACCCGCACTGGATCACAAGCGTGTAAAAACTGCAACCCAGATTCTAAAACCACTCGTGCGAGATGCCTTCAATTCTTCGTGCCATATTCAACGGCTCACTCGCAAAAAAGTGAATCCGCAGGTGGATTCGGCCACCTGTCGCAACTCAAACTTGGTTTGGAAAGTCTGCTTTGGAATGAGTTGGTCTAGTTTCCGCCCAAAGAAACGCAGCATATGGGTTAAACTTTACAACTCAGAGCACTTGCTTTGCGACGCATTCTCTTAAAACTATGGAAAAAAAACTGTAAACAATTTAAAATTTTCCAGGTAAGGCCCACTGAACTAAATAGCTCTTTTCAGAAGTGACCTGGCTATCATAAATGACAGCTCAACGAAGTGGCTAATTTCTACATGTGACAAACCTTGCTAATTGGGCTGCATCGGGTGTGGTTGCGGGTTTGACGACACCATTAATATTCACGTGATCTAACCCATCAAAAAACCTCCATCACGGACATAAAAAGCAGTGGTAAATAAGTAAGTTCTCAATCAGCCGGCCTGTAATCATCAGCGGTCCGCGGACCTCCTCACCACGTTGTGGATGATGTTGGTGAGCGTCCACACGACAGGGACGCTGACAAAGGGGATGGAGAGCAGCACGACGTGCAGCAGGAGCACGGCCAGCACGTACGAGAGCCACATGCCGCGGCTGTTCATGACGCGCGTGTTGGGGTTCACCTCGCTGTGCGCCACGCCGACATTCATCGCGACGGCGGTGGTGGGGCCCCCCAGGGGGGCGTTGGTCGAGCGCTGCTGCCGCCGCTACTGCCGTACGCTGCTTTCCCTGTCGACGCAGAGCACAGCGACGGCAGGGGGAGATGCGGCAAAATGTTATAGCTTCGTACGTGTGTGTGTCTGTTTGTATATGTTTGTCTGTCTGTGTGTAAGTATGTTGAACTCTTTCGCACTGTACGTAGCCAACCGTGCTAATCGGAGGTGCGGGATTAGAATCGCACTGTGCTCGTCATAACAAAACTGTAACCGATCAGTGACGTTTGTCTGTAATCACCACAAAAGAAATTGAATAGCACTCACGGAGGAGGAACGGTGGCACAAGGGTGGCATCAGAGAGCGAGAACACGACGCATAAAATACACAGGGGGTCTTCGATCAAACTTGACGTTTCATTCATCTGCCCCAGGATGTGTGTGTGTATGTTAGAATGGAATGTTTATATAAGCAAAATACCCCGACACGGGTTTGCATTTCAATGGATGGCATCAGCATTTGCGTGGCCTTAAATGAAGTCGACAAAGTAACGGCAGGTAATTTCTTTGGCAGACTTTAGTCGAGTCGAAACAGGTATGGATAAAACTTTTCTGTGATACCACAAATTTTAGATACAGCAGACTCTCGATTATCCGCGTTAATGATGGGGAGGGCGAACGTGGACAATTCAAAATCACGGATAATCCTAAAATATAAATTTTACGCGGATCTCTATTCCAAAAACCACCAATATAAGTATACATTATCTATATGTTTATCTGCAATCGCAGTTTAGTAAATTAAAACTCACAAAATTATCGGATAAATTACTCAAAATGTAGCACAACTGACGATTTCGATTGTTACTCTTCGATTTAGAACGAATACTCACGGTCGATGCGCGTGCTCAGTGATAACACTTTCCTGCTCCCGCGCAGAACACTCGGCCCACTCAGTGGACAACCGAAGAGCCACGCCAATCAACATCAAACTCTGCCCACCGTTGTAAAGATATGGCAACTACTGTACTGCTTTGCCGATCACATGGATTTCGGATTAACCGAAGCACATATTTGTTCGGTTTAAGCACGTGACTTGTAATAAACATTTCAAAGAATAATGTGTATAAGTGTTTTTAGATTATTACTTTGGGCTTAAGGGAAAATCCACGAGTTATTCATTCATGTCAAAATCTCAGGTGCACAGTTAATCAGATAAACCGTACGCGGATAATCGAGAGTCTACCGTGCGTCAAATGATGTTAACTACAAACACGTGTTAGCTCTTAAATGAGTCGGAGAGTTTTGAATAAATTGAAAAATCACAGGACGCCATTCCGTACAGTACAAGTCACACTTCGGATAATTTTCGGAAGGCCGAAACCCCTATTCAAAAATCCATGCTCCCGGCTGTGTCTAACAAGGCCAAGTTAAACAGGTGAATATAAACGTATATATGAAGATGGTCCTTTCACTTTAACGGCGTCAGGCACTCCCAACAATTCGCCCGGCGTCTCTTGAGCCGAGCCCGTGGATAGTTCTGCGAGATTTACTGTAAAATTTGGTCTAACTTCACCCATAAAAATCGGGCAGAACGCACTCTCAGCCAAGTCGCCTTTAAAACACCCACGTGTCCTGCTGTCTGGTTGGCCAAGACTGTACCGGTGTTTGTTTCATCGGTGCAGCTCGCTAACAGCACTTGCGCCAACAGTCTGTGAAGGCTATAAGGGAATCTTTCGATTTAAAGCTTTCGTGACTGCAAGGATTAATCTTCTTTGGTTCTTTCGGTAAAGTCACCTAGAATGAGAATAAAATAATAAATTGATAAAATAACACAATAAAATTCTCACGACGTTTTGGCCACAACACAAGCGGATTTCATCAGGTGAAGGGACGAGACTGTCTGGAGGACAGCGCTGGAGCGAACAAAGCCACACTCAGATCGCGACCTTTAAGCTGTGTGAGAAGAAAAAAAGCGCCTTGACAAAGGAATTAGCATAGAATTTAGCATTGAAATAGCTGAGTGATTACCTTGTGACTGGTCACAGAAATGGCTATGTTAAAGTCAAAGCATACACATCCACAGAGGCACCCCTTGACAAAGGAATTAGCATAGAATTTAGCATTGAAATAGCTGAGTGATTAGCTTGTGACTGGTCACAGAAATGACTATGTTAAAGTCAAAGCATACACATTCACAGAGGCACCTAGTACAAATCAAACAGAAGAATTTAGCATTGAAATAAGTAGGAGAATTTAGCATTGAAATAACTGAGTGATTAGCTTGTGACTGGTCACAGAAATGGCTATGTTAAAGTCAAAGCCTACACATCTGAGCTATTCACAGTAACTGGGTATACACTACACTATATAATGAATACTATATAGTAAACCAATAAAAACTAAAATATATATTACCTCAATGTTATCCATGAACTCTATATATTCTCCAATCAGCTAAGCTACCAACAATAAGTCGTTATATATCACAATGCTATATGGCGAAAAAATGGGTGGATTCTTACCCTCAACTTTAGCACCACGGATAGCTACGAGCCCCGTTCAGAGGGACAAGTTCATCTATGGTCGGAACGGAGGAGGGGGAGAGAGACAGCTGCGAGGCGCTGTTATACTCCATGTTGTAAACCATACCATTAACCGTGGTGTGAGAGGTATTAAGAGTCAATGCCAGCGAAAGAGCTGCTGTCTGAAGGTCATCGTAAAATACAATTAATTAAGAACAGAAATGGTTTAAAACATCTTTCCAATAGTTACTAAGCCAGAATCCATCTTCTCGGTTGAAATTGTCTCCGTGCTTGTATATGTGAATGGCCTCATGAATGAATCTCTCATGGTAGCTGGTTGGTTTGCAAAGAACCTCCGTCTTGGAGAAGTCAATGTCATGTTAGCCCACTGAATTATAACAGTGATCATGCCACGGAAGAGGAGTTCGTTCTACCGTGTTTCAAGCCTGCATTATGTTCGCGGATGTGGTCCGAGATATGTCGTTTGGTTTCTCCAATGTAGCTACTACCACAGAGGCACTTTAGTTTGTAAACGCCCGGGTAGTGTATGTCTGGAACGGCATCTTTTACAGATGGAACCAGATCACGGATTTTATGTACTGTGTTGAATCGGACCTGGATCTTGTGTTTATTCAGGATTTTGGAGATATTTTTAGTCACCCCTGCAATGTAGGGTAAGGTGATGGTTTTGAGTGGCTCCACAAGAGGATCCTTCTTCATGACTGGAGTGATGACTTTGCGGATTTTGTAGTCGGAATAACCATTAGCCCTGAGAGCCTGGTGTACGTGCTTGAGTTCACTGGTTAATGTGTTCCTGGTCGGAAATGCATTGGGCTCTATGGTATAGAGTCTTGATGAGGGAGTTCTTCTGGGATGGATGGTGGTGGGAATCCGGTTTCAAGTAAGCATCTGTATGGGTAGCTTTCCTGTAGACAGCAAGAAAACGTGCCAGTTTGTAGGTGGGGGAGCTGATAGTAGAGACGATGGGACGAAGGGGTGTATCTTCTTTGTGTATCTTATGGAACGCCATATAATCTTGGTGGTCTGGCAGCAGAGGGTTTCAACGAGAACTGTTTGGTCTGATCAATTAATGCTGTTGAATCAGAGATTATTTTGTTCGTTTTGGTAACCAGGCTGTTGGCGGGATCTCTTTTTTATTTTTGTATAGCTGCCATCGTTGAGTAGTTCTTGAATTTTGTTATATTCTGTTTTGTCCATGATGACAGTGGCATTGCCCTTGTCGGCTCAGAGGACCAATTCCGCGACCACATCAATTCCATACACCCAGCCATCAGATTTACCATGGGGGTCGAAATAGATGGCAAACTACCCTTTTTGGATGTCTTAATTAAAAGGAGACATGATGGTTCAATGAGCCACTCTGTCTACCATCACCTTACCCTACATTGCAGGGGTCACTAAAAAGATCTCCAAAATCCTGAATAAACACAAGATCCAGGTCCGATTCAACACAGTACATACAATCCGTGATCTGGTTCCATCTGTAAAAGATGCTGTTCCAGACATACAGTACCCGGGGCGTTTACAAACTAAAGTGCCTCTGTGGTAGTAGCTACATTGGAGAAACCAAACGAGATATCTCGGACCGCATCCGCGAACATAAAGCAGACTTGAAACACGGTAGAACGAACTCCTCTGCCGTGGCAGATCACTGTTATAATTCAGTGGGCTAACATGACATTGACTTCTCCAAGACGGAGGTTCTTTGCAAACCAACCGGCTACCATGAGAGATTCATTCATGAGGCCATTCACATAAACAAGTACAGAGACAATTTCAACCGAGAAGATGGATTCTAGCTTAGTAACCATTGGAAAGATGTTTTAAACCATTTCCGTTCTTAATTAATTGTATTTTACGATGACCTTCAGACCGCAGCTCTTTTGCTGGCATTGACTCTTAATACCTCTCACACCACGGTTAATGGTATGGTTTACAACATGGAGTATAACAGCGCCTCGCAGCTCTCTCTCCCCCTCCTCCGTCCGTCTGAACAGGGCTCGTAGCTATCCGTCCGTGGTGCTAAAGTTGAGGGTAAGAATCCACCCATTTTTTCGCCATATAGCATTGTGATATATAACGACTTATTGTTGGTAGCTTAGCTGATTGGAGAATATATAGAGTTTATTGATAACATTGAGGTAATTTATATTTTAGTTTTTTATTGGTTTACTATATAGTATTCATTATATAGTGCAGTGTATACCCAGTTACTGTGAATAGCTCAGATGTGTAGGCTTTGACTTTAACATAGCCATTTCTGTGACCAGTCACAAGCTAATCACTCAGTTATTTAAATGCTAAATTCTCCTAGTTATTTCAATGCTAAATTCTCCTGTTTGATTTGTACTAGGTGCCTCTGTGAATGTATGCTTTGACTTTAACATAGCCATTTCTGTGACCAGTCACAAGCTAATCACTCGGCTATTTCAATGCTAAATTCTATGCTAATTCCTTTGTCAAGAGGTGCCTCTGTGGATGTGTATGCTTTGACTTTAACATAGCCATTTCTGTGACCAGTCACAAGCTAATCACTCAGCTATTTCAATGCTAAATTCTATGCTAATTCCTTTGTCAAGGCGCTTTGTTTCTTCTCACACAGCTTAAAGGTCGCGATCTGAGCGTGGCTTTGTTCGCTCCAGCGCTGTCCGGCAGACAGTCTCGTCCCTTCACCTGATGAAGGCCGCTTGTGTTGTGGCCGAAACGTCGTGAGAATTTTATTGCGTTATTTTATTTTATCAATGTATTATTTTATTCTCATTCTACGTGACCTTACCGAAAGAACCAAAGAAGAAGGGAATCTTTGTTTTGGCTTTGTGCATTTGCAATCGTTAAATATGATGCCGTTTACCGGGTGCAAAGGGACTCAATTTGTGGAAAGCCTCAGCAAGCCGTCTGTTTTTAGAAGGGTCCTAGAGGATGGGAATGTCTGGTCAATTGCAATAAGTGGTGCTTCGTGTGGAAGGAAATATAAAATTAAAACCTCACCGCGTGGACACTCAAGAGCTGCCGCACAGACGCAACACAAATCCACAACTGTGCTGCCATCTCCTGGCCAATCTACGTCAACAACACGAGGTGACTATCCGGACAGCTTGACACATACTCTTTGTTTTTTTTCTTAGCTTGACACATCTCGTTAAAACAAAAAAACAGGGTAAATAATGTTATGAAGCATCTGAGATATTTTATGCTTTCATAATGTCAAATATGTTCACGAGCTAAATGCGAATCTTGAGATCTTCTGCTGTTGCTAGACACGCTGAGAAGGCTTCAGCAGAGACAGTTCGTGTCGTGTCGCTTGTTCATCTTGGGTTGCACGGCCACACAGTCGCACTATTGTACCACTGCATTTAATGTGTCTGTGTGTCACTAGGTATCCCTGCGAGTTTCTATGGGTTCACTATATGGTTCCATAGTTTGAGTTTCATGGCCACACAGTGGCACGACTGTGACTTGGTCGTAAAATGGGCGTACAGTGTGCGTGGGTGTGTGGGATGCCTGTATGTGTGTGTGGGTGTCTGTGTATGTGTTGGATGCCTGTGTACGTGTGTGTGCGTCTGCATGTGTGGGTGTCTGTGTGTGTGTGGGATGCCTGTGTACATGTGTGGGTGACTGGATGTGTGGGATGCCTGTGTAACTGTGTGTGTGACTGTGTGTGGGTGTCTGTGTGGGATGCCTTTGTGTGTGTCTGTGTGTGTAACTGTGTGTGTGTGTGACTATGTGTGTGTGGAGATCGGTGCCGCAGTGGTCAGCGCGCGGCGTTACGAACCCAGCCACCCGAGTTGGATTCCCGCTCACGGCCAACACCGGTAACGGTGATTATCTGCACCGGTCCTGAGCCTCACCTAAGCCGACCCAGCCACAAACGAGTACCCGGTGCGATGTGTAAACATCGCCACTAGGGAGACAAAGGCGGCCGGGCGTGGTGTTGGCCACCGACCCCCTCGTGTGCAGTGTCGGCCCTCAAAGGTGCTCGCTAACACCACTTGCCCCAACAGTCTGTTAAGGCGACACAGGGGATCTTTGTCTTGTTGTGTGTGTGGTCTTCTTCCGCGAATATTGGCGAATCCCGGTCACGGCCGACAACGTAGGAATCTTTACTGGTCCCGGACAGCTGTGCAAAAACAAACTTCTGATTCTGGAGGGGTGTTAAACTAAACCCACTCACTACCCACTCTGGAACCCACTCAACTCACTCTACCCACTCACCACCAACTTTACCCTGCACGTCGCTCACCGCACTTGGCCCCGGCAGCCCGCGTGGGCGACACGGAGGCAGCGTCGTCTCGAGTCGCCGAGTTCGCTGCCGTCACCAGCGCCGGGGGAAGAGTTCCTTTGATGGTGAGAGCGCGAAGGTGCACCTAGCTTGGCACCGTCCCAACCGACCGCTTGCTGTTACGTGGCTGTGCTACGTGTATAAGTACCGTGTTTGTTTAATGTTTTTTTGCGCCGCACTCTCAACTCGACTCCCCCGACTCAGCTCGCCAACTTTTCCCCGCGCACCTGCTTCACATTTCCCACCACACATTGTCGGTGGCTCGCAATGTCCTCGCGCCCTATTGGTCGCCGCCGACCACCCCGCCCCCCCTCTGGAATCTATCGGCCAATAGGAAAGCGAACTTGTCGTGAAGCTGACCCCGCCCCAACCAGCGACCAATGGAGATCGCGGCCGCTGAAAGGGGCGTGGCGCTTATGCATACTGCGAAATCAAATTATTTGCGGGGGTTGCTTCCGCATTTCTCGCTCGAGCTCTCGCGAGATTTTGGCCCCTCCCCTTCCTCCCGCGAGGTTTTCGAGGCTTGATTCAGCCAGCGGGTCACGCCCCCAAGTGACCCACGCATCGATTCGATCGACTCTACAGCGCGAGATTCGAGCGATCCGAGAATCGATTCTAAAGAGAGACGAACTCGGCAAGCGCGGGCAAAATTCGCTAATTTCACTGTGGCCTGAACATAAACATAATAGGCGACGTTTCGGGCAATGGCCCTTCCTCATAGCGCATTAATATTTCACATTCGTGGTAGGTTATGTATGTGCTATAAAGATGGGTAATTGCCTGAAACGTTGCCTATAATTTTTTTTTCCTAAGGCCACATACCCGGTATTTGTGAAATGGGACCTTTTTCGCCACTATCAAAGTATAAAAAAATAAGAACAGGTTCTACCCTTTGCGGCAATAAAACATGTGTTAAGATTTTGATTTAAAGCTTTCGGTAAAGTCACGTAGGTATAAAATAACATAAATCACGTTTCGATCGCAACACAAGCGGTCGTCCTCAGGCGGAAAAAAATACAATCCAGCAGTGGAACTGCATAAGCGCCACGCCCCTTTCAGCGGCCGCACTCTCCATTGGTCGCCGGTTGGGGCGGGGTCAGCTTCACGACAAGTTCGCTTTCCTATTGGCCGATAGATTCCAGAGGGGGGGCGGTCGGCGGCGACCAATAGGGCGCGAGGGCTTCGCGAGCCACGAACAATGTGGTGGTGGTGTTCTTTGGTTCTTTCGGTAAAGTCACGTCGAATGAGAATAAAATAATAAATTGATAAAATAAAATAACACAATAATATTCTCACGACGTTTCGGCCACAACACAAGCGGCCTTCATCAGGTGAAGGGACGAGACTGTCTGGTAAGACAGCGCTGGAGTGAAAGAGCCACGCTCAGATCACGGCCTTTAAGCTGTGTGAGAGGAACAAAGCGCCTTGACAAAGGAATTAGCATATAATTTAGCATTGAAATGGCTGAATGATTAGCTTGTGACTGGTCACAGAAATAGTTATGTTAAAAGTTAAAGCATACACATCCGCAGAGGCACCCCTTGACAATGGAATTAGCATAGAATTTAGCATTGAAATAGCTAAGTTAAAGCATACACATCCGCAGAGGCACCCCTTGACAATGGAATTAGCATAGAATTTAGCATTGAAATAGCTGAGTGTTATTTCAATGCTAAATTCTCCTGTTTGATTTGTACTAAGTGCGTCGGTGAATGTGTATGGTCTGACTTTAACGTAGCTATTTCTGTGAGCAGTTACAAGCTAATCACTCAGCTATTTCAATGCTAAATTCTATGCTAATTCCATTGTCAAGGGGTGCCTCTGCGGATGTGTATGCTTTAACTTTTAACATAACTATTTCTGTGACCAGTCACAAGCTAATCATTCAGCCATTTCAATGCTAAATTATATGCTAATTCCTTTGTCAAGGCGCTTTGTTCCTCTCACACAGCTTAAAGGCCGTGATCTGAACGTGGCTCTTTCACTCCAGCACTGTCCTACCAGTCTCGTCCCTTCACCTGATGAAGGCCGCTTGTGTTGTGGCCGAAACGTCGTGAGAATATTATTGTTATTTTATCAATTTATTATTTTATTCTCATTCTACGTGACTTTACCGAAAGAACCAAAGAAGATGAATCATTGCAGTCACGAAAGCTTTAAATCGAAATTTAATGTGGTGGTGGGTAATGTAAAGCGGTGCGTGGAGGGAAAAGTTGGCGAGCTGCGTGGGAAAGAGAAGTTGCCATGGTAAGAGGTTATATAGGCAAGAAAGGGGGAGGAGCAAGGGGGAGAGGGAGGGGTGGGGGTGTGGGGTACGGCGAGCGCTGCTATGGTTTTCACACCTCATGATGATTGCTTGTGTTGCGATCGAAACGTCGTGATTTATTTTATTTTCTACCTACGTGACTTTACCGAAAGAACCAAAGAGTATGGATCCCTGCAGTCACGAAAACTTCAAATCAAGAGCGAACCTGATTCCTTGCAAAAGATTTCAATTTGGTGTTTGAACATCTGAACACCTGTTTTATTGCCAGAAAGGGTAAAACCTATTGTTTTCATGCTGTTCTTGACACGACACGTGTTGTCTTGTAGTTGAGCTACTGCCAACGCAGCATCACCAGATCTTTCAAGTAAAGATAATCCACATTTACAACAAACCAGACACGTAACATGGACACACGAAATTAGCTGTCGTCCCTGCAGCTTGGTATATTGAAACCTCGTATGTCGATTAACTTATAACGTTAGTTCAACGAGGATGCATTCCCAGCCTTCGTAACTTTGCAATTTTCATCCTATAAATGCTTCATAACTTACCATTCGCATTGTAAACAAAGATACTTTATATTTAATTCACGGTGGAGGGACCCTCGAGCACAAACCCAAATATTGATACTGGACATGTGAATAATGGACACGTGAACAAAGAGCTTCGGAGCTCATCGGATTTCTCCAGGATAAGAGATTCGGATAAAATAAAGATTATCATTCTGATACAACTACAGAGGACAATGGAACTCCAGTAGCCTCTATGAATTCTATACTTTCACATGATAGGATCGACAGACCTCAAGCGACCTGGCCACAAGTGATAGCTCAACGAAGTGGCTTATGTGAAAATTTATAGCAGCCAAATACTCTAAACACGTGATATTGATTCTAAATGTGGAGGGAAAAACTGGACTCGGGAGAAAAATCCACGCGACCACGGGGAGAGAGACACGCAAACTCCAAATATACAGCAGGCGTCAGGGTCGGGATCGAACCCAGCAGCTCCTACATTCCAGGCGATGTAGTTAACATCTCCTAGCCACCACGAGATCGTGGGTTGTGTGCGAGTCACTACATTCTTCAAGCCCTAGTCTCTCCAGACCTATGGCCATGTGGGGGAAAGTGGTGGCAAATTCTTCCCCCCAATTGCACTCCATTCGCAGATGAGTCAACCGGACGTGGTCACCCAGGTCTACGCTCACCGATCATCTGCGAGTATGCAGATGCGAGCGTGACCCACAAAGTGGCAGTCAATTCACCTCTTTGTCAGTCGGCAAATTGTGAGCCGCTGAAATCAACGCGTCACATTTAACAAATGCTCGGCTTGACTTGACGAAACATCGGCAAGGCATGGCCTGTTCAACCGATGACAGCCTATCGCACCGTACGTAGCCAACCATACTAATCGGAGGTGCGTGGGAAGGACAACTAAACCAAAAATCAGTTCTAAAGAAATGAGTTGGTCAATCTAGATGATTTGAAAGTGCATAGCTCCAGTGGCTTCCTAAAATTGGAAGGAATAGCATTCCAGACGGCCGCAGCAGCACATCTGAAAGCGCGCGATGCGGTGACCGTCTTTGTTCGACGGTTAGCAGTCAAAAGCCGTTGCTGCAGATAACTCGTAGGGGTAATATTATTCGCAAAAAATGTGCTACTCACGAGTACCTCCGGAACGTATCCCCCCACGCTTCTTTATTAATTTCAGAGGGCGATTAGAAAACCAGAGCCGGAGTCAAGAATTGCCCAAGGCCTCGTGGCCCTACATTGTCGATGTTTGTCCCGACTCTATGAATAAACGGGGGGGGGGGGTGTTTATACAAAAAAGAGATGCAATGTTAAAAAAGTGTCAAAGTGCCACAGTGGGGATCAAGCAGTTAAGCGTTGCCAAAGTGGACGTTTGCCAATGAAATAATCCCGCACCACACTAATACCCGCCATTCGTCACGAAGTGACGGTGACGTCACCACGGCACCTGTGTCAAGCCAGGTGCACTTTGAGGCCATGTGAAGTGTGGAAGGCTTGCTGACAGGTCACGGGACAGACCCAGGTGCCATGGGTTGGCCGATTGAGATTACTGGCTCCGTTGCTCCTCTGCCCTCCATTGTTGTTGGAGGGCGACTGCCTCCAACTGCCCAGTAGCATCCTTCACGAGCCTACTCCATAGAGGCCGATTTTGACACCACTCGGCTCCACATCCTTCCTACCGCATCAGTCCATCTCTGCTCCAGCCCACGTCGTGCCCGTTCAGCCCCCCTCTATCCGGCCAAACACAAGCTGCTTGGGCATGCACTGGCTGGGCACACACAGATTCCCACAGCAGCCACAATAAATTTACGTTTACAGTTCAAGAATACAAAAAAAAACTTTTACTCCTTATTAAATTAAGACACGTTTTGTAAATGTACACGAAATATATATGAATAAGGCCAAGAGAGACATGATCCAAACAGAACTTCGATCCAATTAATTAAAACATTTGGCAACCTGGCCCCTCGACCAAGGCAATATAACACAACCATGTAAACCATGATACACGGAGATGTTTACAATTGTACGAAATATTAAGTATAGGTACAAAAGAAACCTTCAAATACTTGCTGTGCAGCAGGTATCCGTCTTAAAACTAGAATTGCATTACTGGTGTGAGGTGTTCTAGATTCAATAACTAATGACAGCTAACTCGTGTATGAAATCAGCAGCCATGTTCAAAAGCCAAGTTCAAAAGTCATGCCCGTGCAGATTTGCACAAGTTAAAGTTGCCCTGTAGCTGTTTTACCCACATTGTACTGTGCACTTATTGTGTGTGGAACGTTTCATTCAGAATTAACGTGGGCAACAAACTAAATATTTAATGTCAATCAGTATCAACACTGCCGGTCTCTTATCAGCAAGGCAACGACTGTGGATTGTGTAATAAGTTCATCGGGTTAAACGGCACCACTGGGCAAGGACAAGGGTCGCCTGGCAAGGTCAAGATGAGCCCGGCAAGGTCAGGAGCCCGAAGGCCGAGTCTCTGCGATGCGCCGGAAGACGGCCGTGAATTTTTCTCCTCCGTTGCGTGTCACCTTCTTCCCTTCCTCGGTGCACTCTCCCAGCTGGCTCACGATGACGTCGTCCTCCTGGCCGCAATCGAACAGACAAGGATGGCGCAGCACAAGTTGAGTTTAGTTGCGTTTAGTATCGCTCCAAAGCCAATAAAAAAATTTACACGCGAGACCAAACGGGGCCAAGTTAACGGTCGCGCCCCATCAGCAACAACAACAATGGTTCGATTGAAAACTTGCGTTAAGTGGTGCCGGCTAAGTACAGCAATGCAGACGACTCGGGGGAGGAAATGGTGAAACGGATCAACGAGGTAGTGGCCAATACAGTACGGAGGGGACACGTGATAATCACGTCGGGTGTGACACAACGATTTCTTACGTAACGCGTGGCGGTTGACATGTTACGCTGCACTTTTGGGCAGGGGTCGTTTTGACTTTTTGGCAAAGTTATACCGTTTGAAACTACTCTGTTGTGGATTTGCTCTCCAACACACCGGTGTGCTGTACTAGTGACGAATTGGCAACGTTCTGTTTACGTGACAACCCTTACTAGTTAGCTGTGGTGGGTTTAACGACACATTTATATATTTACGCGATCTAACCCAAAAAAACCTATATTATGGGTGATATTGGTCGCGAGAGCCTACGTGTTAAACTATAAACGGTGTTAATCTATGGACAGTGTTAATCTATGGACAGTGTTGAGTGTATGAGTAGTGTTAGTTTATGGGTAATGCTCAATCCATGGGCAGTGTTAGTCTATGGGCAGTGTATATGTTGAACTTCTTTCTCATCGTATGTAGCCAACCGTGCTAATCGGAGGTGTGGTGTATGTATGTATGTTGAACTTCTTTCGCACTATATGTATCCAAACGTGGTCATCGGAGCGATTCTAGAATTATTTAATAACTGCAGTAACCCCCAGATTTATGCCCTCCCACTTTACGTACTCTTTCTACAACGTACTCAACTCACCGATACCCAGTCCCTCTTTATGTAATGTGGTACCTCGCCGTAACGTACTACCTTTAAGACCCAGTATTTTTTTTGCGCTGCACGGCAAAAATTAATGTGCCAGATGGCGCCCAAGCGTTAGCATCCGTGACTTGCTGTCGTCTCTTCCATGTGACCACACACTCTATTAATATTCCCCATACAACATACTGATGGCGACTATGTTTGCATGTGTAATTTTTTTATACATATATGATTAACAACTAATCATAATACAGGTGACTCCCGACTTACGACCTTTCTTATTGTAACACCCCCAATAGTAAGGACCAAAACTCGTATCTACGACTGCTACCGACACCGAGTTGATTGCCAACGAGTCTACTCATGGCATGCGCAGACTCGTCGCCTGATGGCGCTGCTTTGCTATTTGCGTATGTACAGTATAACCCGACAGTTTGCGGCTGCATCTAGAGCGAACGCAGCATCTCTTTCGCAACACGCTTTTGCTTTTTTTGTAAATGTTCTCCAAATTTTTTTCGTCTTTCGCTGTCTGAGAAGAGGAAATGTGATGCACATGCAGAAAAGTACTTCCGAATTTTCAAATGTGTTTGTTTTTACTTAATACATGTTTGTGAAAGTTATGTTAAGTTACAATAAATGTCTGTTAGGGTTATTTTAATTTATTTTCGTGATCAATTTAGATATTTTTATGGTATGTAATGGGTTTCCAGGAACAGAACTCCAATTTATAACATAGCGCATATGGGAAATAAGGATTCGACTTACGACGGCTTGACTTGCGACCGTCGTCCAGGAACCAATTAGGCCGTAGGGGGTCGCCTGTTCAGGCAGTTCCCGGGTCACGGAAGGGTTATGTTCCCGAGAAGGATCCGTAACCCGAATTTTCCATATATCTGAAACTGAAAATTTTTCCCCCGAAATCAAGATAGAATCCCATAGCCGGAAATAATTGTGCCTCCCCTACCGTTTCCTCTCTGCTGTATCGCGCTGTCGTCTGTATTTTATCGCTACCTGCATCGTGCGCTGTGCATACGCTCTGCACTTCCTATCATTCTTTCATCGAATATCTACCTTAATACCCATAATGAAACTAATGGAACATATACTGTATCCAATTGTTTATGAATACCACAAAACATTTTTATATTGTTAACAGAAAGCAGTCCATTCCGAATGTTGGTTTACCGTGAATTAGGCTAGCCCTAAACTTCACATACTCACACACATACATGTGGAGTGACATAGAATCGGTCACGGAGCAGCATCGTGCTGGCTGCTGGCAGGGAAGGGGATCTGCAGCTTAAAGCAGCCCTGACTGACAGCAGGCCATGTGATAGACCAGAGAGGGATCTAGGGGAAAGGTTACGGAAGGGGCACATCGAGAACCCGCTAGTAGGTTCCAGAAGGGGGCGTGGCCAGGGGCGGAGCCCGGCCACGCTGACAGTATAAGAGGGGCCCTTGGAGGGGACCTCTTGGCTGTCGTCTGGAGTGGGATCCCGTCGTGCTCCTAGAGTCTTCACCGTCGTCGCCGTCTTCACCATCTCCGCATCGCCAGTCAGGCAGTCTACCAGCTGTCCTGACTGGGAACCGTAGTTGCTAAATGTTACTGTCAGGCCATGTTAATAAACAGAGTGCCTCCTACTCTTAGTGTCTCTGAGTCAGTCACTACACATGCACACAAAGACAGGTGGAGTAGCCTCGTCTACACAAATACACGCAGTACATACAGTAAATAACTTATTAAATAAACATAAAATGAAGAAAACTAGCAATAGAAACATGGATATATATATAGTTCAAAGCATACAAAACAAACAATTCCGTAACGCTACGAAATAATCAATTTGCCTCAATTCTAGTGAAGCTCGGGCTCGGCGAAGGCAGCGTTTTGCTGTAGCAAGGTGTTACGCCTATCTCCGTGGTATTCATCCGCAACCTCACCGCGTTGCACTATTTGCGCTTATGTAAATAACACAAATATTTCCGCATATTGAATGTTTTTTTACGTTATTTGTGGGAGCATTTTCCTATAGTCTGATTTCCATAAGTCGGGTGTTCGATAACCCGGGGACTGCCTGTACATATACTATAATGACAAGGTAACAAAATATATCTTAGTCTATCTTAGTCTATCAATAATATAAACTTACTTTTCACACCGATGGTTGTACAGTATAGATACAAATCCTCTGTTTAAATTCAGGTCCTGTACCACGTTACGATCCACCATCCCATCTCTCTAAGCTTCTAACCTCCCACGGCCTTCATGTCACGATTAACCGGCGCCATAATCTAAACAACTCAACTGGATCTTAGACCCTTGGACACATCGACACCTTTAGCAGCCATAAAAACGTTGAACTGGCCAGGTCCCCTGTCATGACAAGCGGTGGCATCTAAGCGCAGCAGGCACCTACTGGAACCCATCTACCTATGTACGGATGTTTAACTTCTTAAGCACCATACGTAGTCGAATCATGCGGGGGAAGGACAAAAAATTAAAGCAAAAAAGCAGTTCTATAGAAATTAGTTTGCAATCTAGACATGAAAGAGCATAGCTCCAGTGGTTTCCTAATATCAGAAGAGCATTCCAGATGGCCGCAGAAGCGCATCTTAAAGCACGCGATGTGGTGACCGTCTTTGTTCGATGGCCAACCAGAAGCCGCTGCTGCTGCTGCTGCGAGGATGAGCGGAGTTAGCGTGCAAATCTCACCTATATGCCTCTGGTCTCGAAGCTGATTGCGCTACAACTTCGTCTCGCCCGCAGGACCACCCACACGCTAATCATGGCCTCGCGCGCTCAACGCAAACAAACGCATGATCTCCACAGCCCACCACCCACGCGGTCGACTGTGGTCAACAATGTCGTCCTCCATTACAACCCAGCGGTGACCAGCATGCCATCACACAGCCGACTCGTGGCGCCATGGTGGCAAGATGTTAACTACCTCGCCTGGTATACAGGTCGTGGGTTCGATCCCGACCCTGATGCTTTATATTTCTAAGTTTACTAGGTTTGTTTTCTCATTCATTCTTACCTGATGACGGTTGCTTGTGTTGCAATCGAAACGTCATATTCTTTTATTATTTAATTTATTTTCTTTCTACGTGACTTTACCGAAAGCACCAAAGAGTAATTCCTACAGTCACGAGAGCTTCAAATCCAGGCAAGGATAAGTTTGTTGGTTTTCCGGCAGGCAGCTCTGTAGGCAACTCGATCACCAGGAAGACCACTGCGGGACGCGATCCTTTCAAGGTGCCTCCTGATTCGCTTAGCAAGGATGGCGTCTCTTCAGAGCCAGCGAGCGTCGTGGGAAGGCTGCCTCGTGGTTCATGGTTTTAATGGTGCCAGCTTGTCCAGCGCTGCCCTCAGGTCAGCTTCTAGTTGAAGAGCGCATACAGTTGGATCGGATGATGGAGATAACATTGAAGGTGAATTTGCGAGGAGGTGCTGTAGAGTGGAAAACTTGATACCCTTGAAATTACGGGAGTGGCGGGGTGATTTTGATGTTGATTGGCTTGGGAATTTGAAGGGAAAATAGTATGAGGTGGTGGTCGGAGTAACCAGTTTGGAAAACTCCCAGTGCAGAGATGCGATGATCCAGGTCAGGTTCCAGAACCAGGTCGAGCACTCTCAACATTTGTTGAGGAAGCCCTGGTGGGGCCTGAGTCGGTGATGACCAGGTTATGGCAGGCCAAGGTTGACTCAAGGTGGCTATCAATGGAGGCTGGGGTATTGCCGGGGCAGTTTAAGTCTGCAGTAAGCACGAGCCTGTGAGATGGGTTAGGAATTAGGTAAAGAAATTCAGAAAGCTCGTTGAAGAAGGTAGTGATGCTGCCATCTGAAGGGCGATAGATGGAAATGAGGGAAAAGCACTCGGTGTTAGTAGTGAGGGACACGGACTAGACCTCAAAGGTGGCGGTAGCCATCGGTAGATAGAGCTCTTTCATTTTCAAGTGAGCATTGTAGATGACCGCTAAGCCACCACCCCGCTGGTTAGTTGCACGAGGTTTGTGAAGAACCTTGTATCGCGGGGGCGTGACTTCCAAAGAGATGGCTGGTGGGGAGTCTGGCCTGCACCAGGTCTCGGTAATAA